ACAAGCCAGTGTTTGAATGGGTTAAACATATAGGTCTTATTTTTCTTCAGCTTTATTGATAATGCAACTTGTCAGGGTCTTGCAAAGAGAAGCAGTCATTGCAAAATTCCTAGAGTGCTATTTTGTTATTCTTGAATATATGCGATGAATGGAGACTCTGTTAGCCTTGGGTCTTCAATCTGCGTCTAACCTTCCTCATCCGCGTTTAATATTTCATTGCTATTTGCTTTTCAGCACTTTTGCCGTTGAGAAATGTCTTTCCGCGCTACTGCCCTGTCGCACTTTAATTTTCAAATCATAATATCAAGACTGATTCGGCACCTTACTGTTTGTTACCAATTTGCATACTTGGCCATTCATTAATTCAAGGTTCCCAAGTCTACAGATGCCAGAAGAATAGCATGAGTGTCAAACGTCTTTGAGGTGCTTTAAATGCAAAACATTTATGAATCATATCGCATACAATAGGACTAACGCCATTATTCATTGATCGGTATGAAAAGCTTGTTCTATTCTATCATCAGCAATTGATATTGCCTCAGAGCGTCAACTAAGCCTTCATCTCATCACGGAGAAATCGATCAAAGCTGGATTGCGGCGTTCTGACTTCTGATCAAGCCTGACTCTGCTGCTAGTTCAGGTAAAAAGCAACTTCTTAATCTACAGTGATCAGAAAAATTTCTCACAATAGATTCAGAGGTGACGTATAAACATGCAACGACGAAGTTTAATCATTTCCACTACCGCAGTTAATTCACTATTGACCGAGCAAATTAGAACTCAAAACCAAAGTTCTAGAACGTAATCGCGCCAAAGGGAGATTTTAGGTCGAATATTTAAAGGCTTCCTGCTATGGACATGAACACAGCGTTTTAGCAAGGCGATCGCGACAATATCATTGTATAAACTTATAAAAACTCAAACATTCAAACACTGAGCATAATCCATTACGAAATTTTACAATACTTGACTTCCATCACTATGTTTTCCATATTCACTTGAAACAGAGTCTGTATTCGTCATTAGCACCTTCAAATTATGGGAAACCGCCTGGTTAAAAAGCGAAGCACTGCCGCACTAGTGTTAATTTTTTCTCATGACAAGTGCCAGCCGTGACACTGTTGTAGTCTATTGCGTGTGTCCACATCTTCTCTTACATTGCGGACGAGGAGAAGAAAGTAATGTAAAGTAAGGTCATGTTCGACAAAACCGTTGTTATGAGAGAGACCGAGCAAAACCGGTTGGCACTGTTGGAAAACATATAAGATTATGAGTTTGCTGATTGAGCTCAGGCAGATCGCTGGCCATCCAAGTGGATCCATGTCTACGCTTGATTTCCTCATTTTAGGTATAAGCAGTGCATTTGTTGTAGCTTTTCTTCCATCGCTTATATGTTGGTAACTTCCTACATA